CGATCGGCGATTGCGAGTCTACGTGGGCTTCGATCGTCGACGTACAATTGGAACGAGCCAAAATGGCTGTGGCTGACGGTAATAGGGGAGGCCGCGCTAGACGATGCAGGGGGCGGCCTCGGAGTAGAGTGAGAATAAGATCGTAAAGTAAGATGGTATACTATGACAGTAGAGCACGCCACGATGTACGATAATCGAATGCCTGTCTGAGCTCGTCTCATCTTCGGCTCCAGGCTTCCTGTATCTAGTCTCTACTATCTTACCCTCACTCTACAATCGTTTACTGTGTTACTGCGGAGGAGAGAGAGAGAGAGAGAGAGAGAAAAAAAGAAAACAATGGATGTGTTCGGTTCACATTGAAACAGTCAGAAGGGCGTCACTCCCAGTGACGCGCTGCGCGCAGACGCCTATAACGATATCGATATGAGTCCGTGTTGCCCGACGTCGATGGTTGGATAACGTCTCCCCGTGGCACATGCGAACCTGACCGTCTGCGCACTGTGCGAAAATATAACACAAGATGCAACTGCAAATGCAGACGCTGTTGCCCCACACCAGCGTAAAACAATGCTCAGCTGAGCGGGGTCGCGCTCCAATCGTGACTTCACTACGGCGAGCGCCACTCCGTAAACTTCGATAGCGATATCACTGCGAACAAAACGAATGTATCGGCGTGCCCTGCAGGGAGCGCTGTGCCCAGCGTAGCGCACCAACTTAATTCGGAACCCGGAGCGCTGCTGCACCGCCTACCAGTTCCCCTTGTCACCGTCGGTCCACTCGACCACAGCCTTCCACGCCTTCTTCTCGTCGCCGCCGTACGCGCCCCAGGTCCCCCAACTGAACATCTTGTCCAAGATAACGCCCACCTTCTTGACCCGCCACTTGGAGTTCTTCTCGTCCGTATAGATGGCATAATCCTTGCACGAGATGGGGGGCTGCTTCTTGAGCGCGGGTAGCGGGGGCGCCTTGGTCGACGTCGATGCTGGGCAGGCCTTGGCCTTGGCCTTGGCCTTGGCCTTGCCTTTGGCCTTGGCCTTAGCTTTGGCCTTGCCCTTGCCTCTCGTCGTCTCGGTATCCTGCAACATCTTCTTGATGTACTCGTCGATCTCCTCCTGCCGTACCGTGGGCCCCCCGCTGGCAGCGGCGGGCTTCTTCATAGCTGGAGGCTGCTCCTCATCGTCTTCGTCGTCATCGCCTTCGGCGAGCGCGCGCTTCCTCGAAGCTTGGAGTGGCGGCGTCCCCGAGCCAGGATCCGTCACGGCGCCCTTTGGAGCGGGCGTCGTCGGCGGCTCGAGGGATCCTGCTGATGAGGTCCTCCGCAAGCCCGATGGGGGCCAATTCAAGAAGGTCAGCGGGATGTCGCCCTGCCGCGGACCCCCTCCTGCCGATGCGTTGCCCATGAGCTGGCCGAACATGTTAACCATCGTGCTCATCTGCTGCATGAATGCGCCATGCTGCCTGCTGTTCGGGTTCGGGCGCTCGAACGGGACCATGCTGCTGCTGCCCCCCGAGGGGTGCTCATGTATTCCGTTCGTCTTGCGGGCTTTCGTGATCTGCCCTGCTTGCAGGAGCAGGGCCTCGCTAAACTGAGGCTTGGGGAGCACGGTAGCCCCGAACACCTGCGGCTCGATCTCGACGAATTGCGACACAAGGAGGGGGTAGTTGCAGACGGACGATTGCACCGAGCGCCTCGATGCACGTTTCTTCTTGATATGCTCCTCTGGGCAGCACGCGACCCCCATCGGACGCCCAGCCTCGAGCATGTAGCCCCGTGGGGTGCCCTAGGGGGAGCAGGGTCGTCTGGTTGAGGCCCCTGGATCGCCAACAAATTCAATAAAAGGCCGGGCAAAAACTTGAAAAAAGCTGGGTGGCAACCTTGGCCCGAAACATGAGATGGCGATGTGGACGGAGAGGGAGGGGGCAGTGGGGATGGGGGAGAGAACGAGAGTGTGGGTGATAGTGGTTACTCGATGTCGACACTTTCGGGGCCTCTCGATATCGACGTCGCCTCTTCCTCCTCCTCAACCACCTTCTCCTCCTGATCCTGCCCATATAACCCCCGACCCCGATGCTGAGACCTGGGCGCCCGATGCGGGGGTCGCACATTCGACATCGAGTGCGATGTCGATGTCGAGTCCTTGAGCTGGTTCTTGTACTCGAACGCCTGCGCGGGCGCAGGCCCCCGACCCGCGGCGATCTCGCTCGCGACCACGAGGGCGGCCAAGCGAGGCACCATCTTCTGGTCGGGGTAGTGCAGGCCGAGGGTGTGCACGAAGTACTCGCCAACCTTATCGAGCTTCGCCTCGACCCCCAGGTGGGGGTCCTGTAGCAGCGCCCACATCTCCGTCGTCAGGTAGTGCTCTGGATACTGGTGCGTCTGGTACTGCACGTTGAAGTTACGCCCGCCACGCTTGCCCGTCATGGCGATGTCCATCGTCACCGACTCCGTTACTGCAGTTATCAGCTCGCGCTTCTGGGCGGCCATGAGGATGTCTGTCGCGTTGATGGCGTTTACGGTCTGAGTCGCGTCATCCCTGGCGCAACCACCACGACGGACGATCATCTTCATGTGGGCGACCTGGCGCTCGATCACCTGGGCCCGATCCTCATCCTCCATCTGGGCGGTCACCGCCCGCGCGAAGTCGACGACGCCCTTGAAGGTGGCGAGACACGACGCCCTTGCGGAGGGTGCCGCCGCCGCGCTCGCCATGGCGATGACGATGCGGACGCGCTTCGATATCGATTGCACCTATGCGCTACGAGCCCAAATGGTGACGGTAAGATGGCGATGCATAAGGCCCTGCCCCCTCCTCCAGGCCCTCCCCCCTCTTCCAGCCCACCTCTTCCTGACCTCCCACGCGGCCCCTGAGGCGCTGGGCGCGCCGATTTGGGTGGCCCGATTCGCGACCACCTCGATCGCAGTCGACGTCGGTGGATGACGAGGTGATGGTCACCATGACCATCACCTCGCCGTGGCTTTGACGAGGTGATGGTCATGGTGACCATCACCTCGTCACCAACTGTGAGGTGATGGTCATGGTGACCATCACCTCGTCACCAACGATGAGGTGATGGTCATGGTGACCACCACCTCGTCACCAACTATCTTCGCCCATGGCCGTTGGGGTGGCTGAGCGCGCCCAACGATTGCCCATGTCAGCGCTCGCGCGCGCCTCGTTCGGCACCCCGTCGCATCAATGGTCCATCGTTCGTCAGCCTGATGTCCCCCCGCTTCCCCCACTCCCTCCACCTGCTCATGCCACTCCAACTCCCCATCCTCCTCCTCCTCGGCGGGGGGGGGCGGCCTTCGCCTCGACGGTGCCCACGACGCGCGGCGCGGCGCGGCGAGAGGGCAGCGGCGGCGGGGGGGGGCGGCGAGAGAGCATCAGCGAGGGAGCATCGATAGTCGATGCGACGACGACGACGGCGACGACCACGATGAGGGCCATCGCGAGGCCAACAGCGTGCTGTACAAACTGTTCAAGGAGATGGGGGAGGGGTTCGTCCACGAGTGCGCGGCGAACGCGCGCCAGGCACGATGTTTTTTGCATCTGCAGCGGCGCCGTCTCTAGCCGAGATCGACAGTCGACTTTGCCCTGCTCCTTGCGCATATCATCTGCGGCGCTGCGAGGGCCTAGGCGGGGCCCTCGAGGGCCGTGGCTGCGGTGCCTCGCTGCGCGACGCCACGCGCGGCTCCACCGCGTCCTCGACCATCAAACTTGGAAACACAAGTCGACATCGATTCAGCAGCAGGCCGCGAAAGGGCCCCCATGTACCCTAAGGGGTCCCAAGAGAGGTGGCGCCCGCACTTTAATATACACCGCAGCCTCGCACCGTGAGCACAGGAGGTTGCGTCGTCGTCGGCCTCGTCGTCACTGTCGTCGTCGTCGTCGGCCTCGTCGTCGTCACTGTCGTCGTCGTCAGCCTAACGACGCCACTGGCCCGTGTGGTACTGCTGCTCCAGGGCCTGTCGCGCGTTCGTCACGCACTTGTGAACGAACTTCGACGGGTTCGTGAGGCTCCCCCCGCCCATCTTCTTGAACAGCTTGTACAGCACGTTGTTGGCCTCGCGATGACCATCATCGCTGAACTGGGCCAGGAGGAAGACGCTCTGCTGGGCCGTCTCGTCGATCTCGTATTGACGAAGAAGGCCGAGCCAGGCGCGAGGCTCCCGCTCGAACGTGGCCCAGTCGGGCTCCTGCACCTCCTCAGCGACCGCAGGCGCCTCCTCCGCGGCCGCCTTCCATCGACACTGATGTATTGAGCAGGCCTGTATTTCGATAGTCGGGGGCCATATGTGTGGCCAGGGACTCGGGGCAGGGGGCGGGGTCATGACCACTCGGGGCCACTCAGGACCAGGGGGGGCAACGCTGGACTACAATGTGGTTCACGTGAAACGGCCTTCTGTTCCACCCCCATGCTCACTGGCGTTGCAGATGATGAGTTAGCGTCGACAGTCGAGGTGGCTTCGCCAGCTGCTCGAGGATCGACTTCTGATAACGACTCGGCCTTGGCGCCGCCATTCCATTCGTTGGAGGGGAGGGGCCAAATGTTTCGACATCCAAGCGGAGGAGGTCTCGAAATAGACTTGGTGCCCAGAATGAGGACGAGGGAGAGGACGACGAGGGGGAGGAAGCGGGGGGGGAAGGAGGAGCAAGATGAGGGGCAGAGGGGCGGTGGGCGAGATAGCTGGGTGTGTGAGCGAACTGAGACAGACGTATGTGCTGAGGCTCCTGGACCGCCAAAAGAAACAATCAAAGGCCGAGCAAACAACTAAAAAAAGCCGGGTGGAAACCTTTGCCCGAAACCTGGAGATGGCGATGTGGACGGAGAAGGAGGCAGCATGGGGGAGAGAACGAGAGTGCGGGTGGTAGTGGTTACTCAATGTCGACGCTTTCGGGACCTCTCGATATCGACGTCGCCTCCTCCTCCTCAGCCACCTCCTCCTGCTCCTGGTACCTCTCCTCTTCCTCCGCATCGTCGGACTCGCGGGCGTAGACCCCCCGCGTCGGCACTGGGCGCCAGGCACTGCTGGTCCCCGACTTGCCGTAGACGGGGCCAGCCTCCTTGCCGCCCTTGGTGTAGACCTTGCCGCCTGCGCCCTTGCCGCCCTCGCCGACCCTGCGCGACTTCTCGGCCCGCGGCGGCGACCCTGGCGGCAGCACGGGCCCGACAATGCGCACCATGTGGTACTCGGTGTAGACCCAGTCCCACAGGCTCTTCCACGCTGGGTACGCCATGTGGTCGTCCCTGACCGCCTGGCTCGCGTAGAGCTGAGCGTAAGGCACCTCGCCGCCCTCCGCCAGCTCCCATGCCTTCCCAGGCTCCATCCACGCCTTGACGCTCTCCAGCATGCTGATGTGCCCGCGCCTGCCGCACTGCTCGCCCGAGTTGAAGATCTTCGAGCTGCACGCGCGCAGGTGCATACCTCGACCTGGTTCCTCGACAGCATGAAGTTCAGCATCGCGTTGCACATGCGGCCCACCGTGTCGCTGCGATGAAAGCCGCGCCGGCACTCCACCAGGACGAGGACCGACGGCCACTCCTTGATATTGTAGTTCGCCACCTCGATGACGATGTCCTTGCACGCGTCGACGAACCCTGCTTGTGACATCACCGTCTTCTGGGTTTGTGCGTGAAGACCGTTCTCCTTGTGTTCGATCGTCTTGCTCGGGTCTTTCGTCAACAAGCGTCTGACGTCGAAGTGAATGACTTTCGACCCCATGCGCTCGCAATCGTGCGCGGTCTCGTTCACCAAGTCCTTGTGGATCTGGCCGTAGGTGATGGCACCCACGACCTGCGCGAACTCCATCGAGCGGCCCTCCTCCATGGCGCAGGAAGAGAACAGGAAGAGAAGGTCGTAAGAGTGCGCTGCAGCACGGCCGAAGGCGCACGCGTGCACTCAGAGAGCCGCAATGGCTAGTAGGCGATGGTCGATGGGCCAGCCTCGATTGTCGAGTGTCGATTGTCGGTCTGGAAGATAAGCCAACTGCAGCCCAGAAGCTCGCACAGCGACTTGGAGCTCCCCTATAGGCGCTATGGCCAGTTCCGCACCCAGCAAAACCCGCCAGGGCTGCCCAAGACACAGGAACCCAAGGGCGAGCAAGCTCACCACTCCCAAGGGCCCAGCGAGGACAAACCCATCAGGGCGACGAATGAACCAGGACTCCAGCCTGGATTTAGAATATGAATAAGGGGGGCTCGAGACCGCTTCTGAGACACCCGTGCTCTTCGACATCGATTGCAGCTGGCTCCAACTCCAGGGCGCAATGCAACATCCAACGCAATATCAAGTGCAATCGCGATGAGGCAAGCATTGCCACATACAACGTGCACCTATGTACGTACACATATAACACGCATGTAAGTATTGCCACATACTACCTGCGCACATGTATATATATGTAGAGATATATATAGACACATCCCCCTCATACGCAGAGATATATGTATATATATAGAGACACTTGTATATATATATATATATATATATATGTGTAGAGATATATGTAGAGATATATAAACACATGTATATATATAGATATGTAGCGATATATAGACAGCCCAAGAGGAGCAAACTCCACCGCATCATATGAGCAACAGGGCTTGGACGGGACGGGTGAATGAGGAGGACGAGGAGGAAGGAGGAAGACAAGGAGGAAGGAGGAGGACGAGGAGGAAGGAGGAGAACGATATCGATGCTCTTTTTTCCGTGCCAACCCTGCCACGAAACTCTCGCTTGCTGTGAATTGCGATGTAGCTCAGTCGCCCTCGACTTCGACAAGCTCCTCTTTCTCGTCGTCGGCGGCAACGCCGTCGGAGGTGCCAGCGTTGCTCTGAGAGTCCTCACCTGCCTGAGCTGATTCGAACAACTGCATCGCCTCCGCCGCGGACCTCGCTGTCCTGTAACCTCACGCTCACATGGCCGTCATCGCCTGTACGTTTCAACACGAACTGGCCCTTGGTGTAAGAGAAGCCCGGCCCAGGGTACTCCTTAGTGTCGACCTTGAGCACAGCAGGAACCTTCTCGGACGGATGCTGCCTGCGGACGGCCCCCGACTTGATCTCGGACTCGCAGCACGCCTTCAAGTACATCGCGAGGTCCTCCTCCAGCTGCACATACAGGGGGGTGCCAGGCCTGTCGGTAATGACCTTGAAAGGGGTGCCCTTGATGTCGCCCATGGTCGGACCATGTACCGTCGTTGTGGTGCCCTGAATCTCGTTGTGGTTCGACCTGAGTCGTTTCTTCCATGGGCTGGAACCAGGCGGCGGTAAGGATGTCTTCTCCATTCCGTGAACGTTAAGCTGGTCCAAGGGGGCTATCAATGACGATCTGTATACGTCATCTCTAAGGCGCTCCACTGTTTCACAACTCGATCTGTTAACAAGCGGCCTGCTGCCCTTGGAACGCGGATGTCCAAGAAGCTTCATCACCACATCGCAGCTCTTCTTGAGGTGAAAGAATACACAACCATTTAGCTCCCTGCAGTCTTCCAGGATGATTGGCGAAGCCATGTAAGGGGCGCGCACGCGAACAACTTTGTCCACGGACCAGACCATGGCATCCACCATGTGTCGGATATCGATATCAACGTATTCCTAGAAGCGCGCGGGGGTGCATCTACATCTGGAGCCAAACAAGCAACGCGCGACGTCGAGCGATAGGCGCATGCGACTTTCGACTGACGTGGCGTCGCGAGCCGCGTGCCCCGAAAGAACAGAAACACAAGGTGTGGAGTCTAAGCGTTTTAAGTTGTAAGTTGTAAGCGGTTTAAGTGTACACGCGGCCCTGGATAAACGTTCTAAGTGCCGAGCTCGACGCGACGACGACGATGGCGCCGACGAAGCGGACGACGATGACGACTATGTAGATGCTTTTCGTGGTAATTATGGCCAAAACTCCAAAACTCCATGGGGATCCAACAGTCCATGATCGATGTCGGTGCCCCTATCTCTACATCGCTCCACTGCTTCGCAAATCGATGCGTGCATGTATGTCTACCCGCTGCGCGCTACTTCCTTCATGGTGGACGCCTCGATGGTCGGCGGAGGGGGCCTCTTCGGGGCAGCGGTCGCGACCTTGGGAAGCGTGAGCTCGTCTCCAACGTTCAGAACCATGGCGTTGGTGACTACGGGGATCTTGGCATCGTACACTTTAGCGTTGCCCACAGATACGGCCACCGAGTGCTTTGTGATGGCGCAATTCGGCTTCGACTCCGTGCTGTCCACGTGCCTGATCTTGAAAGCAAGGCTCGGCGCTTTAGCGCCAGGGTCCGAGAGGGCGAAGGGCCCCTCGATCCTCTCATCAGGGCTGGGCACATCGAAGTAGGGGCGATCGCTCTCGCCGCACTGCTTGATGGTCAGAGCCGTCGGCACGGTGATCAACTTTTTCGCCTGGAACCCTTTCTTAGAGAAGATGTCCACGTTGGGTTTGCTGACCGCCACCAGATCGCCCCCATCGACTTCGAATTTCGGCGTCAAAGATACCACGGCCATAGCAATTGCTGACTTGATCTTGATCGCGACGAGATCGGTATATTTAGAAGCTGCGTCATCGGGCCACCCAGCGAGCAACTCTTTCGTGGTTCTCGCACCGCAGAACTTCTCGATGAACTTTGGAATGGGGCACCGAATAGCGACCTGGTACAACGAGCCATTGTGCATCACCTCCCGAATCCGAACGCCATCCTCCGACATCGAAGCTATCTTCCACGTTTTCCCTGAGATCGAAGGTGCAAGGGCACAACTCATGCACAGGGGGGTTAATACATGTAAGAGTTTTTATGTGGCGTAGAGGGGTGACGGGTCCAAGGTGGTTGAGGGAGTTAAGGGAAAACCGCTGAAACTGGTAAACCACCCCCTCCCCCAGTAGCTCGGCCGCGCCCTTGCACCTTCATCGTCCTTCTTCAGCTTGATGGTGTCATCAACCTTAAACCTTCTCTGCTCCAAGATGCAGATGTTAGCGTTCGCCAGCTCCCCCGTGCTGGCGTCGCACTGCAGCACGCCACTGAATGGGGGTCTGCTTGACGGAGTCCCCATCGGCACCGCTGTCGTTCTGGGCCGGCTGGCAGGTATACGGGTTGTCGATCTCGATGGTACCATTTTGCTTTGCCTTCAATGCCTCGATGCACTCGTGAGCGACGCACTCGATGTTTTTGCATCGTTCATCCACCTTTTTCCCCAACAACAACATTGCTATCAACTGGTCGGCCTTACCTATGATCGGAATGCGTTCGATCGTATCGATATCGATCTGCCTGGAAACGCTGCGAAGATGCCGCAGGGCCTTCTCTGCTGCCATCGCTTTAGACTTCGCCTCCGTGCTAGCGAAGAGGGGCGCGATCTCTGGGCGGGTCACAAACCTGCACATTCGACTCTGCACGGACTCGGGGGGGCCGTTCACGTGAGCCTTGACGACGGCCATTACCAGGTGGGGCATCATCTCCGTCGCCGCGAGCTTTGCCTTGCACAATGTCTCGAACGCGCACCCGCCCACCAGGCGCCCAGCGGGCGCGCGCCTTGACACGAACTGCACGAGGTCCCTGATGAATTGGCCCTGGGACCCCCCACCATATTTCGCCACGAAGCCAGCGCGTGCGTCGATATCGTCAACGTACTTCGATTCCGATTTGCTCGCCTCGGTCTTCACCCTCGCCCAGTCGATTGCGGACCCGTCGCGCCCCTGCTCGGATGCAATGGCCTGGATGTGAAGCAAGAGCTCCAAATGCGTTTCTTCACTCTGCACCTGGTCCGTCGCCTGCTTTGCCGACTGGATCAAACCTGGAAGTTTTGGCCAGCGTTCCTCTGCCTCCTTTTTCACCATCAACCACCTCGACCCAATGTCAAGTGCTTTTTCCTCGTGTTTATCGTTGCTTTGGATCTGCTCCGTGTTGATGCGACCGTCGATGCCGGACAACGTTTTCTCCTCTGTCTCAACTCTCTCTAAGCAAGCCACCAGGGACTGATTCGCATGCCCAGGGCTCACGCTCCCTGCGATAATCGATTCGGACGGGGATTTGCCAAACAGATTCGACGATCTCTGAAACTCCTGGGTATACTGTGCAATCGTGCCATTCTTATCTTTGATGCAAACTGAACCAGCCGTTGCCGCGAAACTAAATTTGTCCCTCACGATCTTAGCCCCCAGCATGTGCACCTCGTAAGCCTTGATGCCCAATCCATATCTGTTGAAAGGGTGGATGTCTACTTGGTGAGGTTTGAGATACAGCCACACAGCCATGCCAATAGCAATTAACTTCTCGAGGATCACGTCTACCATTCCGACGAGCCCATCTGCTGACGACAGTGCTTCCTCGATGGGGCCGTCCAGGGCATCGACCCCGTCAGCGAACGACGCCATCGCGCGCTCGATATCGAGGACGCTGGGAAATCGAGGTGCGACCCTCCTGGCGCTACGCGGCTGCGGGTCCGACTTCGATGGCAATCGAGTTCGATGGCATCGATTTCGATGGCAAGAGGAAGGGGGGGGGAGGAGGAGGAGGAGGAGGAGGAGGAGGAGAAGGGGGAGGAGAAGGATACTGATAAGGAGAGGAGGGAAAAGAGAGGAGGGGGAGGAATAATGACTGGTACAAGGAGGGATAGGGCATGATAAGGGGAAGGAGGAAGAGGGGGATGCCGACGACGAGGAAGAGGAGCTGGAGGCGAGGAAAGAGGGAGGACGAGGGCGGTCGCGGCGGGGGGGGGCCGCGGTGCCTGGCACTTGTTGCGCGGAGGGGCGGGCGGCGCGCGCGCGCGCCGCTCGCCGCTCCGACCGACCAGACCGATCCCCCCCACCCCATATATACCCCCACC